GGCAGTAATGGAGAGGATGGTGGCCCCAGGAACAGTGGGCAGAAGAAGGATCCACCGGCTGTCAGCAGGAGGAAGCAGTCGGAGACAAGGCAAGGCCTGTTTGCCTCTGTCTCTGCTGGAATGGCAGCCCTGGTGAAGTGGGGCTGACAGTAGAGGGAAGACCTGTGGGAGTACAAGGCCAGGTACTGGCACATGGAAGCTCAATGGTCTGAGATGGTCAGGCAGCTCCAGGCCATGATGCTATCTCACTGGAACAAGGCCCTCCGGCTCTTCGCCACCAGCGGCACTTCCCTCCAGCCTTTACCCAAAGCCCTGTTCCAGGAGGCCGAAACAGACCCCAAGTCGGAATTTCTGCCCCCCTCCGACCCACACAAAAAGACCCCGAAGGGGAAGACTCTCTGCAGAAATACAAACGTTCATTGCACGTATCCGGCCTAGGGCCATAGTTTGAGGACCCCTGATTTAGTGCAATATAAAAAATGCAAATAATTTTTCTGCGGGCCACCAAAATTTTCTTGGAGACCACCAGTGGTCCACAGACCACCAATTGGTGACCTCTGGACTAGATGACCTACAAGGTCCCTTCCAATTCTGTTATTCTGTTCTGTTCTAAGATAGTGTCTGTTTTTTGTTCGGTCGGTCGATCATCTATCATCTATCTATATTGGGGTTTTTTTTAAGTTTTTATTTTTATTTCTCATAAACATACACAAATGTACAATCTCTTAGCCATTATTAATCATACATATTATCTTTTGATTTTCATATTTGTTCAGTCTTCCTCCTAAAATTTTAAAGTATACTCAGGGTTGCTCTTCTACTATTCCATATCTTCCTTATTTCACAACAACCTTTCCTCTCCTTCTCCTCTCTTTCCCTTCCTTCCCTTCTTCTATTCTTTTCCACTTTCTTCTGTCCTCTTCTCCTTCCCCCTCTCTCTTTCTCCTTCCTTTCCCCCACGCCTCCCCTCTTCCTCCCTTTCTAACCTTCTCTCCTATTCTTGTTTCCCCCTCTTACTTCCTCTCCTTTTCCCTTTCTTCTGTCCCTCTCTTTCCTTTCCTCTCTTCTCCCCTCTTCTTCCTATCTGTCCCTCTACCCCTCTCTCCACTCTCTCTCCATACTGTTCTGTTCTAAGATAGTATCTGTCAGTTGGTCGGTCGATCAGCAGTCATCTATCATCTATCTATATTGTTTTATTGCTTTTAACTTTGTAAACCGCCAGAGTTACCTTGTGTCAAGCAGTAAACAAATTTAATAAATATGTAGTGGTAGGTGAGCCTTGCAGTATTTTTCTGCCATGTATTATATGGTGGATCCTTGAGGGAAGGGGCTACTCAGAAAGCAGAAGGAGCAGAGAAAGAGGGTTGAAAACATTCTGAGCAACAGTAGACTGTTCTTGCTTTTAATGGGATATGTCTTGGGTTCATGCCTCAGAGAAGCCCTCCTGAAGAAGATTAGGATGATTCTGTGCTTGAGGGCATAGAATAGAGGGATGTGGTGGCTCAGTGGCTAAGACACTGAGATTGTTGATTGAAAGGTTGGCAGTTCAGCGGTTCGAATCCCTAGTGCTGCGTAACAGGGTGAGCTCTCGTTACTTGTCCCAGCTTCTGCCAACCTAGCAGTTCGAAAACATGTAAAAATGCAAGTAGAAAAAATAGGGACCACCTTTGGTGGGAAGGTAACAGCATTCCGTGTGCCTTTGGCGTTTAGTCATTCTGGCTACATGACCACGGAGACGTCTTCGGAGAGCTCTGGCTCTTCGGCTTTGAAACAGAGATGAGCAGTTCCCCCTAGAGTCTGGAACTACTAGCACATATGTATGAGGGGAACCTTTACCTTTATGCTTGAGGCAATCCTTTTATATAGCATAGCACAGGGGTCTCCAACCTTGGCAACTTTAAGACTTGTGGACTTCAATTCCCAGAATTCCTCAGCCAGCTGGCATAGCATAACAATCTTATCTTCTAGCCCCAATATTGTTATTAAAGGATTCTCTGATAGCAGGGTAGAAGATGACTGTATCTTTCGAGAACTGGTCTAATCTGAGAAGCAACCATCGATGTTCATCAAAATCTTGATGATAGGTTATCACTCTTTAAAGAGCCATTCTTTATTGCCTGCTCTGAAAACCCATTAAAGATCCCAGCATAACTTCATGGACAATTGGAAATGAATCAACATTCTTGTGATATTCTTTGTACCTATAAAAAGAGATCTGTTTTCAGTGTTGCTCAAAAAACACATAAATGGTTTATTGGCTGGAAACGGCCTTTGTTGATTAGATTTCTGCAAATAATTTTAGCCTGGAACTTCACAATGATTTTAGAAACTCTTATGACACTTTATCTAAGCCTCAACGGGACTTTGCACTTTACAAGTATTTCATCCACCACATTCGTTACGGAAGAGAAGCTCATATCTTAAGTAGATTCATTCAGAATGAAATTTTGGGTCCAAAGCCTGTCCTGAAGACAGCAAAAATCTTGTAATGTTATCATTTCCCCAAACTTAAAAACAATAACAACAGTTGTAAAAGATCACAAAACCTCTCTTTCTTTGCTTCTTTTTCTGCAGATGATATGGGGATAAGTTTAAATTCTAAGGGGAATGGATTTTGGTTGGTTGGTTGGTTGGCTTGTGGGTTTCTATGGTTGTCCACCTCAGTCAATGACTCTGGGAGGCTTACAATTCAGAAAATACATTTTCTGAAGTATGAAATATAATATATATAACAGCACTGAGTGCTGAAACGGGAGCATGCGCTTACACATGCATACTGGAAATTGGAAGAGCAGCCGTCCGGGGCACATGCGTGCGCCAGGAAGATGTTCTTCTGGTTTCTGGCACATGCATGCACACTGGCCACCTGGTCCTCTGGTTTCTGACGCTCCCACGCATGTGAAGACCAGCTGGCTGGCACGGCCGAACCCGGAAGACCAATGGGCGATGGCTTGCATGGCCGGAGAGATGGCTCTGTGTGCCACTTCCGGCACGTGTGCCATAGGTTTACCATCACGGATATATAAAATAGTACCAAGAATGTCAGTTGTCTCAGTGGCTGATAAGGAAAGTTTTCAACCAGACACTCTCCAACAGATCTTCATATCTGAACAAGTTTGTAATAGGACAGGTTCCTCAAAAGGGCAATAGAGAGTTTCTTTTTAAAAAAATCTTGCTTGATCCTGGAAACTGATGGTACCTATTGTAACCTTTTCAGTCTATGTCACTTCTGATTGCAAATATGAAGACAAAACGCCCATTTTTGAAGCCTTTTCTAGGTCAATATTATAATTTAAACTTGTATACCCCTTTTCGATCATGGATGGAATGGGCCCATGGTAGGATCTTGCAAGGGACATATTGGGGCAGAGGTGGTATTCATCCAGTTCGGACCGGTTCACCCGAACCGGTAGCAGAAATTGCAGGTGGGCCTGCCCACCTGCCCTGGCTCTAGGCCCATGATGGCGAACCTATGGCACGCGTACAACAGGTGGCACGCAGACCCATATCTGTGGGCAAGCGAGTGTTGCCCTAGCTCAGCTCTAGCATGCATGTGCATGCCAGCCAGCTGATTTTCAGGCCTTCCGGGCCCACTGAAAGTCAGGAATGGGCTGTTTCCGGCCTCCAGAGGGCCTCTGGGGGGGAAAGGCCATTTTTGCCTTCCGCAGGCTCCTAGAAAGCCTCTGGAGCCTGGGGAGGGTGAAAAACAGGCCTACCTGGCCCACCGTGCCATCGCGTGCCATAAGCGGGGGGAGCGCAGGAGGGGTCGCACGTGCATGCATGGGGGGTGGGCACATTGAATTATGGGTATGAGCACAAACGAGAGAGACCCCTCCCTGCACTCCCCCTGCTTTTGGCACGCAACGGCAAAAAGGTTAGCCATCACTGCTCTAGGCCATCCTATTTAGACATGTTTTTGAGGCCGGGTGCTTGTGTGGAAGGCAGGCACGTGCGCAAACCAGGCGTGCATGTGCACGAAGCGAGCATGCACGCGCAGGGTGAACCAGTAGTAACATACATTGAAACCCACCACTATATTGGGGACAATACACAGAAAAGAGGTTATCTTTTTTCCAAGATTTTGTTGCACTCCGAAATAAAACTAGAGACCACCATTTATTTATTTATTTATTTATTTGTTTGTTTGTTTGTTTGTTTGTTTGTTTGTTTATTTGTTTGTTTGTTTGTTTGATTGATTTATATTGCCGCCTATTCGCTCATGGCGACTCAAGGAGGCTGACAGAATATAAAAAACCACATTTAAAAAACTAAAACCCATAAAAATCTCTACTACTAAACAGTAGTGGGTTTCCAAATTTTTTACTACCAGTTCTGTGGGTGTGGCCTGGTGGGCATGGCTTGGTGGGCATGGCAGGGGAAGGATACTGCAAAATCCCCATTCCCACCCCACTCCAGGGGAAGGTTACTGCAAAATCCCCGTTTCCTCCCGATCAACTGGGGCTCTGGAGGCAGAGAATAGATGGGGGCGGGGCCAGTCAGAATTTTTACTACTGGTTCTCCGAACTACTCAAAATTTCCACTACCGGTTCTCCAGAACTGGTCAGAACCTGCTGAAACCCATCTCTGCTACTAAAGAAAGTATTAAACCACTATAGCTCTTATAGAAAGGTGCCCTTGGAAATTTGTCCAGGCCGATCAAGCAGGACTATATTTTTTGAGGGGAAGGAGTGTAAAAAAAGTAAGATTTTGACCACACAATCAAAAGTACCCCCCTCCCCCCTCCCCCTTTGTTATATTTGTTGCACACACAATGCACATAAAAAGACAGGAAACACTCTTGGTCACTCAGTTATGGTGGCCATCTTGACTTTTGGGGACATGTCCTCCTCCTCCTCCTCCTCCTCCTACTACTACTACTACTACTACTACTACTACTACAGATGCTTGTCATCAGGACTTTTTGGAACTTGATATTGTCCGCCCTGCTTTGCAAAGTAATTTGGAAGATGCCAACTCTTTGTTTCTCTTCTTAATTGCAGGAAAATAGACCCTGTTATGTGAAGTCTCAGAAGGTGTAGGTGGTACAGCTCCCGGAGAGGAGATGCTTATGAGACACTCAGGTAAGGTGCTTGTTAGAGAAAATTTATTTCTCTATAGCTGTGCCTATTAATGGATGGACAAGTGGGTGAGCCAATCAGAAGGCAGCTGATGGGTTTGAATCTCCAGGGCTTTTATGTTCCCTCCCCTAACTGTCACTGGGACAGTATAAAAGGAGACTACTGATAGAAAGTTAGTCATTTTGGTTGTCAGTTAGAGGGCAGTTCTGCAGTTCTAATGTCAGTTCGAGGGCAGTTCTAAAGGGCAGTTCTGCAGTCAGTATGCAGTTGAAAGATAGTTCTGAAGACAGATATATATATATATATATATATATCTGACAGGATATTTAAGAAAAGGAATGACATACTATTTAGTATTTGAATATTATTCAAATACTAGTAGTATTAGTATTGTTTTTATTATTATGTAAATAAAAACAGTTTATTGTGAACTGCTAGTAAGTCTCATTTGTTATAGTAGATTGTTATAGAGATAAGGTTTTACGGTACATTGATTTAACCTCCATGACAGTGCTGATCTTTTGATTAGAAGGGCTGCTCATGTTGTAGGCATCTGGCCTACTTCGTCAAGGATCAAAACATTGGATTTTTGCCTGTTTTGCTTTTGCTAGCTATATTCTCCAGCAGGATAAAGCCAATTGATTAGGAATTGGTGGCGGGTAGTGATGGAAGCAAAACATTGGGGTCATAAGAAGGTCCCATTGGGGTCTTGCATCAGGCATAAGGTGCATGTTCTCAGTTCAGAAATGAAGAGGAGCTGCTGATGTTTCCATAATAATCTATGGCGGTGTTTCTCAACCATGGCAATTTTAAGCTGTATGGACGGCAACTCCCAGAATTCCCCAGGCAGCTCTGAATTCTGGGAGTTGAAGTCCGTACAGCTTAAAGTTGTCAAGGTTGAGAAACATTGATGTATGGTAAACTTTGGACTTGGGCATCGGCTCTCCCTCCATGATGTTAAGCTGTCGTTTGTGGCTTGTGAGAGAGAGAATTTCTCAACTTTAAACAAATGGAACTGTGTGATTTGTTGGACACGATAAAGGATCCTCATTTCTAGGCAGGGGTGAAATGCTACTGGTTCGGACCGATTCGGCCAAACCGGTACCGATGGCGGTGGGTAGTTCAGAGAACCGGTAGCGACGGCAGTGCGAGGCTCCGCCCACCCACCTGGTCATCATAACTTCCTGGTTTTAACCAGGAAGTAAGCTGTTTTTTACCCTTTGCAATGCGCAGAGGGTCCGTGCGTGCACGTGACACCCTGTTTCTAGATAACAATAGAGGAATGGAAAGAAATGAGAGTAAAAGCCTGCAGTTCATCACAGCTCATAAACATAATAAGAAACTTTGGCTAAGTTTCATTTACTTGAGCAAAAGAAGGGTTCTTGATGCTCTTAAGAGCTTGGTTGTTTTCTTGCAGATGTTGCATTACCCAAACTAGGTAGCAATAGCCCTTAAATTTATATACTGCTTCACAGTGCTTTACAGCCCAACAATCTGGGTCCTCATTTTACCAACCTCAGGAAGGATGAAAAGCTGACTCAACCTTCAGCCAGTCAGGATCGAACTGCTGGCAGTCGGCAGAATTAGTGCGTAATGCTACATTCTAACCCCTGTGCCATCACGGCTCTTACTCTCACCACTGCATTGTTTGGGTAATGAAACGTTTGCAAGAAGCTGAAGAAGCTCCTTGATTGGGAAGTGAAACGTCTTCAAGGAAAAAGAAAAGTCCAGTTGCCTTTTGGAAAAAGGCACTTTTGGGTTTGCAAAAAAACCCGAACAAGCTTGGAGAGCACCAAGGACCCCTCAGTTCAGCCCTGAGCTACAAATATTCTCCTTGATCATTGACTGAGTTTCAGGGTGATCCTTGTTTCCACGTAGGATCCTTTCCCAGAACTGAATCTGCTAAATTAGTGGCTGATGTGATTGTGATTGTTGGTCGGTGGAGGTGCCCAAATTCTGCCTGATTTGCCTTTGTTCAGTGTGTGAACCGGGGTCCAGAGGATTGCCTGCAACATATGCAGAGTTGAACTACAACATTCTTGTTACGAGTGAAAAGTAGCCTTTGATACCGGGAAAAAGCTACCTTACAGAACGCAGAATTTTTCCCCAGGCTGTTCGCCGTGTCTTCTGCTGCTTGATCTGTTCCAAGTGGAGATGCTCAGACTTCAACCTGTCTGTGAATCTCGTCTTTGGCTCCTCTGCTATGCGTGCAAATTGGTTGATGAGCTTCAGAGCTTTTTTTGAAGGAAATGTTTGCTGTCGGAGATGATAGAAGCGATTGATTCCCGCCAGGCTCTGTGAAGTGGCCTCTGATTGTCCAGAGAAAGCTTTAATGCCTGGCTGATGTTTTACCTGCTGGTTTGTCTTTTCCCTGCTGTTCTACTCATTTGTTTTGCTCTCGGTTGAAAAAAAGAAAGAAAGAAAGAAAGAAAATATCCTGTATACCAAAACTGTTGATTTCTAGGATAAAAGACCAATGGACTAAAATCCGAATAGATGCAATTGTTGGAAATGAAGGGAGAATAACCCCTGATCCAATGGCCCAGACTGGCTGTTCTCCCCCTCCGGATAATGGGATCCACCTCCACATTTGTCTGCAAGACAATAAGATAAAGGCAGGGGAAGTCCCTTTTTTTGCTGAATACCATTGTTGGAAGAAATGTCCATCTGGGTTCAGTTCCAAGTGGGGAGAAAGACACTGGAAACATGGTGGCTACTTAGAAAGATGGTTTTAATGCTGGACAGGATCACATGCCTTGAAGATCTTGGGTGAAGAAAAAAAAAGGAAGAGATACTGAGAGTGCCTGGGTTTTATGCCCTCATCGTATCATTGAACCGTTGTTAAACAAACGATTGTAAGTCAGGGACTACCTGAATTTAAGTTAGCAGCGAAGGCAGAAAAAGGCAAAGTGGGGAGTCCAAGAGAAATGACCTTTTTCGTGAATATTATTCTGGTGATTGCAAGAAGATCCCTGCGATCGGTTGAAAATATTCTTTTTATCAGTCCTTTTATTTGCTTTGATACTTCCAAGTTCTTCTTGGTAACAGTGATGTAACCCCACATGCTTTGACAAGCTATTACTATCCCCAAAGTAATTGGTTCCAGATCTACATGCCAGGACTTGAGTTTGTATCATGAGCTGCCATTGATGGGAGTCAGAGCCACAAATAGAATAAATTCAGGAAGACATCTAGGAGATGCTGAGCTGTGGTTTCTTTTATGCAGTAGCCTTGTGCCAGCTAATGCTCAGAAGCTCCAGCCTTACCCCATGCCAGCACAACATACAGTCGTGGCCAAAATTGTGGAAACCTTTTGGGAAAAGTGTATTTTTGAGGTCTGATGGCTAATAACACCACTTTTTTTTTTTTTTTTTGGAGTTTCAAGATAATCCTATTCCACTGCTGGAATGGCTTGGGAATAGCCCAGACCTTAACCCAATTGAAAATCTATGGAGCCGACTAAAGAAACTTGTTAATCAGAAGCAACCCAGCAATAAAACCCAGTTAATAGAAGCAATCATTCAATCTTGGTTTCACATTAGAACAGCTGCAGAACTAAAAGCCTTGGTTCACTCCATGGGAAGACGTTGTAAAGCCGTAATTCATGCTAAAGGTTACCCAACTAAGTATTAAGTGACATGGTGATCATTTTTGTAGATCTCGTTTTTTCTACATGTTTCACTTTTCTTCTTTATACTGTAACTGCTATTCTAATAGCAAATCCTTCATAAAAGTTATTGCATTCTTGATTCAATTATCTTTCCATTGATATATAATTTTACGGTACTACTCCAAAAAAAAAAAAAAAAGTGGTGTTATTAGCTAGTTTTAGAAAATACACTTTCCCAAAAGGTTTCCACAATTTTGGCCACTACTGTAGAATAGGGTTTCTGGCGCAGCTTTTACCTTGAAACTACTCAATGGCATCTCAATCTTAAACCAGACTTGGAATCCAGATGTTCTGAAGACATTTCAACCCAGTTCTTGAAAATACATAGAACAGAACAGAATAATAGAGTTAGATGTGGCCTCGGAGGTCTTGTCGTCCATCCCCCTGCTCGATCAGGAGACTCTATACCACCAGAATGGGACCACTTGCCACAGCCAACTCACTGCGGCCAACTCACCACGGCCAACTTGTTGGAGGACAATTGACCACGGCCCAGTCGCCATGGGACAACCCACTGCAGGACAATTTAACAATTCTGTTTAATTATTTAAAAATATTTTTTTTAAAAAAAATATTGTCAACTTGCAAAGCTTTCAAGTTGCCATGAGCAGGAGGGAGGGAGAACTGATAGAGCTGATTGATTTCCCTAACTGAAGTGCATTCCATACATTCTTCCTGACCACAATCAGAAGGAGGGTGTTGGATTTCACAGCCAGCCAAAGTGGTTAATTGGAGAATGTGATTTATGACATGGCCAGAGAGGAGGGGAGAGACAGGGTCATAGGAGAACGTAAATCTACTTGGGATTAGTTCTAACTGCATCCGAATATTGCCGAAATAGTGCTCCTAATAAACGACTGTATTTCTTTTGAAGTTCGGCTCATGGCTCATGAATTAATTAGGGCATCTTTCGGAAACTTCACAAATATTTTAATTTTTGCCATTCACATTTCATTCTGTCTCTTCTTCTGCATCATTTCTTTAATCATTCTATTCCACTATTTCTTAGATATTAATGTAACTCTTGTCCTGCAGCAATTGTCCTGCCATGTTGGCCATGGCAAGTAGGCCAGGATGAGTTGGCCGTGGCAAGCTGACTGTGGCGATTTGGCTGTGCCAAATTGTCATAGTGACTCCCAACCTTTTGGGCACCAGGGACCGGTTCCATGGAGAGAGATTTTTCCGTGGACTGGAAGGGGTGTGGTTTGTCATGCTGCCTGCATCCCATGGATGGGCCTTCACTTGTTTGTGGGACCTGTATGTTTCTAGTACGCCATGATCCGGTGCCAGTCCATGGACCAGAGGTTGGGGACCTCTGTTAATACCATTTCTG